GTGGAGAGTGTGGGTAGCTTGGAGTAGAGAAGGCTGTTGACTGAGCGCTCTCCTGTCGGAGGACCGGGGGTCGGCCACTTAACTGGGAGCCTTCCGAATTTGAACATCTGATGTCCTCCCTAGGGGGGAGACACTCCTGCCTGCCACTGTTTCAGAACAAAGCAAGGGTCTAAAGGAATCACGTTGTTAACTATGCAGACTTCCAATTAACCCTTGTTCTTCAAACTTTATAGTTTCTAGTACTTTTGAGTCCTGTGACTTTCCCCTTCAGTTTCTCTAGAAAATGTCTCTATTTTCCGAGCTGGGGAGAACAGTTGCAAGAATCGTGAAAGAATTAGACCTTGGCCTACTCCACACACAGACACTTAAGTACCCTTTTGGCATTAGCCCCAGCACCACGTGGTCCTCACAAGTCTGGACCTTTCATGGACTGGACAGGACACACCGACTTCCTCTCTGGGGTGTCCCCCTGAGTAGGTGTACTAAGAGGTGGCTCCGGCAGCCCTGGTCAGTGACTTACCGCTGCCCTGGCTGCTCCCATTTTCTTAATTATAAAATTCTAATGTGCAGGAAGTTACAGGAGATAAAATAGCCTCGTATTTACTACCCGGCTTTATCAACCCTTAACAAATTATTTAAGCAGCTGCTTCAAAATGATCAATAAAAATGCATCATGTATATGGCTGGTGCCTCCTGCGTATCACTTCCTGGTCTCATTGGAGTCCCTCCCGAGCCGTTATCTAAATTGGTATGTGTCACTGCCAAGCATGTTTCTCGAGCACTGCTACGGAATGAATCTGTAAATAACACATCGTATTGTCTTTCATATTCATAAGCCTTATTGGAATCGTACTTCATGTAGTCTCCTACTGCTTTCTGCTTTCCACCTTAGGCTTTTGAGACATACTCCTCTTGATTCGTGGAGCTCTTTTTCATTTTGTTTCAGCTTCTCTGTAGGGTTCAGTTGCGTGACCTGAGTTAATTTATTCGTTCCTTTGTCAATAGCCTTTTGAGGTTATCTCCAACTTCAGACTTCCAGGACGTTGGTGCAAGGAATGTCCTTATGCATTTCTGAGACCGTGCCTGCAGAGTTTCCCAGCAGAGTTTCTGCAAGTCCCCCAAGATGTGGGTCCTCTCAGTCCCTTGGGTAGCCACATGGGACCGGGATCAGTAGAGTTTCCAGGCCAGTCTCCTTCAGCCATGAACAGTTTTATCCTTTTACCCATGTTGGAGAAGAAAAAGCGGGGGGAAATCATGTTTCATGGGACGCCTGGGTAGCTCAGTTGGTTAGGTGGCTGCCTTCGACTCAGGTCATGATCCCAGTGTCCTGGGATTGAGTCTTGCATTGGGCTCCTTGCTCGGCCGCGAGTCTGCTTCTCTCTCTGTCTCTGCCTATGCTTGTGCTCGCTCTCTCTCTCTCTCTCTCTCTCATTCTCTGACAAATAAATAAATCTTTTTTTTTTTTTTTAAATCATGTTTCTATGTGGAATTGGTGAATTGAAGAAATGCCCATCTTCAGATCTAACAGAGACTGCCGAGCTGGTCTGCAGACTGGTTGTGCTAGTTTATGCTCCTGTTGCCAATGCGGAGCTCTTTTTACCAACTGATGTTTAATAATGTGGGCTTTAGTGTTAGACTATAAAATGGGTTGGAGCCTGCCTCCGCCCACGGGCTGTGTCCCCTCAGTGTGATCTCTGGCAGGCTTCCTATACTTCACGTATGCCTTCGTGCCCTTTTATGTCAAAAAGAGGTAATCATAATCCATAGCATATTCTAGAGGTATTTTGAGGAGTAAATCAGTTCATGTGAACCTCTTTGAACAGTGCCATCTCCCCGTAAAAGGCCATTTTAGAAAAACAAGGTTCACTATTACTGTTGCTTAAAAATTGATTTTTGCCACTCAGATGAGTATGAAATGGAGTTTAATGTGGTTTAATTTGCATTCCCTTATTATTAGGTAGAGCATCTTTTCATATGTTTATTAACACTTTCAATTTCCTTTTCCATTCTATTGGGTTGTTCCTTTTTCTTACGGAACCGTAGGAGTTCTCTGTATATTCTCTTTAAATATTCCAAATGCTAATTCTTTGTCGGTTATATACAATGCAGAGCCTTTTTTCCCACCCCCCCCAAGCTTGGGGCATGATTTCTAACTTTATATATGGTGTTTATTGAACCATGGAAATCTTTAATATAAACTAATATTTTATGCATTTTACTTATGAAATCATTCTCCACATCAAGGTCGTATAAAACTTCCCATGTATTGCTTTTTTGTACCTGAGTCTTACCTAGAATTTATTTTGGGATATGCGGTACAGATGCTATTTTATTTCTTTCTGTATGAATAAACATTTGTCTCCTGGGGTCAGCACACCTTCTCTGCAAAGGGCCAGAAAGTAAATATCTTGGGGTTTGTGGACCATATGGTCTTTGTCACAACTACATAGTTCTGTCATTGCCGTGCCAAGCAGGTCACGTAACCTCTCAGACTTGATGGCTCCAGATGAACAAGAGTGTCTAGTTCATGAGAATGTTGCGAGGATTATAGACTAAATGACAGGAAGTAAATAAATGGGTAGAGTGGCGTTCCGATAAAATTTTACTTACAAAAACGGGCAGCAGGTTTGGCCCACAGGCTGTAGATTGCCAAATCCTGTTCTAGACAAATCTAATCCATTCAGTGCAGATGTTAAACAAGGAATTCCTAAGTTGTTTACCTATCATATATGTATGATAGTATATACTACATAAATTTACGTATATAAATATATGTGAACTTATCCTATATAAATATATATAATACACATATAATACAGATTTATTTCTATTTCCTGCCAATCCCATAGAAATAACCTACCCTGTTCTCTTCAAAACTGCTGTTTCCTTCTGGACACATTACTCACTCATAGCATGATTCTTTATTGAACCTCCGTACATTCCAGGAATATAGAGTTTACTGCGGGACTTGGTCTGTTTATAGACAACCCAAATTGTTTTTTTGGAAACCGTTCTGTCTTCTGGTAACTTTTCTCCCATAGCCTAAAACTACCCTCTGAAGCTGCATATTATAAACTAGTATCTCCTGACGCCATGACCTTAAGTTTACACCCCCCACTCTCCCTACACAGAACAAATCATTCTTGTTCTCATGGGATCCTCTGTGTCCCACTGATTCTCATGGATTCGGTCAAATAGCAAGGGCGTGCTTGGGGAGCCAGTCACTTTGCTAGACACTGGAGACCCGGGGGAGCGAGTTCCTATGGAAATAAGGTATCTGGAGCGGAACACACTGCCCAGCTGTGGCCTGGCCCACCCGGGGCCCAGTGGATGGCGCTCTGTCTTGGTCTGTACATTATGCTTTTAGTGACGTAACCTGAGTTCCTGCTGCTTTCTTACCTTTCTCTTTCTGACCCCACCCCAGACTGAGGCTGTTATTAACTATCTCAAAGTCAGTGTGGCAGACATGAGGTCCTTTTGGGTTTTCTTCAGATGAGAACATTTAGGCTCAGAGTGGAAAGAAGCTTGCCCAAAGTCATACAGCTGATAAATGGAAATCAAATCCATGTCTTATCTTTTCCAAGTCCTAATGTTCCATGCTTTCTCCACATATAACACAGGTTGTCCTGATGGAACTTTCTGTGATCCCAAAACAGTCTTTGCCAGGGAAACACTAAAGAAGAAACAGCCTCATGCAAAAGAAAATGGGGCTTAAGACGCAGCCTCTCTCTCTGACAGGTGTCCAAAGACATCTAAAGTTTACTCATTTGGAATGGGTACATGTTTGTCTCTCTGTTTAGACAAGCCAGTCTCCTCTCTGGCAAGGATGTCAGAGCTAACCACAGCACACAGAAGTTTAGAATTCAAGGCACCTCACCTCCATGACCAACATGTCAGAACAGCAAAAGATAACAGCCCCTTGGTGTAGACTCTGGACCGGGGGTGGGCTCTCACTGTCTGGGAGGCCACAGACTGTCACAGCAATGCCACTCTTCAGATCTACTAGTAGCAGACATCTGGTGAAAGCTTACTGTGTGCCAGTGACTGATGACTTGTTCTGTTATTCTCACAACATTCTCATGAAGTACGTGCCATTATCATCTCTAACGTTCACTTGGAGAAGGAGCATCTGAGAGGTTAAGTGACTTGCCTGCGGTTGTTGAGTGGGTGATGGAGGAGGGCTCACCGCCACGCCACTGTTCCTGCCAAGTTATCTAAAACCAGGGAACATTGACCTCTCTAACCCCAAACCCCTTTTTAATACTAAAGGAGCTTAGAAATTAGAGGATCCTCCTCTATAATTCGAAGAAAAGAAAATATCTGATCCCCAAATTCAAAGCATTCTGATGGTCTCATTTTCCCGATAGCCTAGAAAATACTTAACATCTGTCACCTTAGTGTTTGAATCACCCTTTAAAATATTTGGACGCTGTGTCTGTATCTGAGCATCTGTGGAGACAGGTCATTCCTCATTGGACCCTTCTGGTGGTGGTTCTTAGCATTGACTGGCACTTCCCCCTGACAGGCCACCCATGGCCTTCTAATTAGTAAGTGAATGGTTGGTTCCGCATCGTCATTTCATTTGATACACCTGCAATAGGAGAATGTTATTCCTTATTTTAATTTTTATTTCCTTATATGTCTTCCTTCTTCACAGGTTTATCATATAGAGAGAAGTTGAAACAGGCAGTGGTTTGGCAACTGTGCAATACTGTTAAATATTAGGCTTACTGGGATTTGGGGGAAGCTTGAAGAAAATGATATGGTATATGGGAAAAATTGAAGAAAAGTTATTAATTGCGGAGATACATGTCATTTTTTTCTTGTGAGAAGGAAAGTTTCCTGCCAGTTAAATATTTCTTCTTTTCGAGCGTGGTTCTTGACTTTGACATATGCTCTTCCTTTCAGAAAGCTGTGGTATAGACGTATGGCCCAGTGGGCCTTATATTTACTGGACCAGGAATGTCCAAGCCACAGGAATGATCTCTGGTGTTTTCTAGGTGTTTACCTTGCTGTGGATTGCTGACTGGATGGTGCATCACTTCTGGAGGAAAGGGAAGGACCCGGATAGCTTCTCCATCCCCTACCTGACGGCATTGGGTGACCTGCTTGGGACAGCTCTTTTAGCCTTAAGTTTTCATTTTCTTTGGCTTATTGGAGATCGAGATGGGGACGTTGGAGACTAATAAATCCTACAAACTGTTCTCAAGTCCCAGCAAGGAAAACACAAGACAACCACGTATGACTCTTTTTCAAAAATCTTAAATCAGTAGTTGACTTCTACCAGGGTAATCTTTAGTTGGCCCTGATTCAATTAAATGGCCTTAACATTTTTTTAAGGAATTTGTGTTAAAACCAGAATGAACAGTATTTGTGCTGCTTTTCATAGAATAAATGGTAATTTGACATAGATGTAGACACACGCTCAAGCTCTGAAATTAATTAAATAGGAAAGAATATAAGATGTTTACAGTGAATAATTAAAAATCACTGATGTAGCAGAAATGTAATTTATTATTGTTTAACTTAATAATACCAGATTTGAGGAAACTGAGTTCTACTTCAGCCTGTCTTGTCTCAAAGATGTGTTGTCCTGCAAATCCTACTATAAAATGAAAAGGACCAAAACCAAGCCTTTAATAGTTTTAACTATGCCCATCTCTCTGCTAGCTGAGGATAAATGATCAGCTATTAGCTCCCAACCTGACTTAAATATGTTCTGCTGAGCATAAGATAAACTTACTTTTCCCTGTGCCAGTGTGAATTTAACTTCAGCTCTGTAAGGTCTTGGTAGGCTAGCCTTGAAACACAGAATGACCTCGAGAGATCTTTAAAGAAAGCAGTGGGTCATATTTAACCATTGTTTCAGTGAAAGAATTTTGATCTTTCTAAGAAGACTGAATAGTCAAAACCAGAAGATAAACTGGGATGCATTTGTAGGGACAGGATGGTGTAAGAAATTGTGTGTGTGTGTGTGTGTGTGTGTGTGAGAGAGAGAGAGAGAGAGAGAGAGAGAAGAACAGAGAGAAGGCAGAGAGAAGTGTTGGACGGAGAACAAAGTCTTGGATTGTTGATAGCAAAGATTATAGTGCTATAGAAATACTAACTTTATGTAATTATTCTTAAACACATTTTATTGATATGCTTTTATCATTTGGTCTGCAAATTTTGCTACTCTCCAGGATTTACTATTTATTACCTGTATTGTAATTTTTTCTTATGAAAAAAACTACCATTTAATATCACCGTGATTTTATTATAAGATTTTGAGTGAGCAAGTGATCCATTTGCTCTTTTGAAGACGTTTGTTGGAACGTTTAGGCTTACTGTTTTAAGAGAGAAGTTGGTGGGTTACCTTAGTGGTTGGTCACCTCTGTACATATCACCTGTTTGCACAGGCTTATCTCTACTCTGTCATATACAGTGCTATGTTTCTTATATATTTTTCTAAAACTCTGACCTATATTCCTAAACTTGGCCAACGCTTTAGTTATTCAGTAGGTCAGCATTTTTATATCACATATTGTTCATTTAAAAAAATTCAGTAGAGTCTCTCAAGACCATCAGATATCTAATAATTGAACTGGTAAGGGGAAACATGTACATTAACGTTGATCATTATGGTTTAAGTTGTGAGTTAGGGTTAACATATAAATAGTATATTGTTTATAAACATAATGGGGGACGCATTCCTCTTACACTCTTTAAAATAAGGGGACTGTGGTATAGAGTTTTATATTTTTGCTTATTTTAAAACTTTAATTATTCCACTCTTCTGCCTTATAATGAATCTTCCAAGGCAGAGAACTGAACTAATTACAGACTTTCTCCTTTGGAGAGTTATAATGTCAAATAGTGAACATTCTTTTAAAAGAAAGAACGATTAAGTCAATATGTAGCTGCAAAGAGTTTTTTTTATTTAAAAAAATCCATAAATAATTTCTTTGATTTTTATTGTAAAGCATTTGTAAATTACTTATTTACGTTTGGGCTGTGTGATTCATAAGCATTTCTATTTGCCGATAGATTTCTATCTTGATTTATAACATAAAAAAGTGCTCGGCAAACTACATTTTTAAAGCATTTACCATCATCTTTAGTGCATTACCTATTCTGAAACACACTCAAAGACACTCTATTATATAGTACTCACAACAGCACCTGTGAACCAGATCAGGGAGAGATTCTTATCTGTATTTTGTGCCAGAAGAAACTGAAACGCAGAGAAGTTACGCTTCTAACATTGCCTGAGTGTGAAAGTGCCGAAATCATGACTAAAATCTGGGTCTCTGGTCTCCTGAGCCAGTTACTCTTTCTATGACCCCCCCCTACCCCAGGGTACCAAGAGTACCTAACTCATTAACTGACAGAAAATAGGCTGGAGCATCAGGATTTTCTAAAGTAGAATAGAATATTGCTGCATCTTTTAGGGTTCAGACAAGGAAACCTCCATCTAATCTGTCTTAATGGTAAGTGCAGCCCAACTCTAAATTATTCATGTTCTAAGACCAAGAAAAACACAGATAAATGAAGACTTCAGAATAAAAACTAATGCCTGATTTCATTGAACATTTAGTGGCCACCACCTTCCCTGATTTAACATTTTACATAGATGCTAATAAGTAATTAGCGTGGCTGATTTGAGTTCTGTCTCCTTTTTCTTTTGCTACCCAACCTTCGCTATAGCAACAAAAAGTCTAAAAGGCATGCGTGTCATAAGGAAAAATAAAGACATGGAAAAATCAGTTACCAATTAGCTCAATTAATTTATAAAAGGGATCTAGAGTCCTTTTAAAAAAAGCTTTTTACTGGTTTTCTGAAAGCCTTTACATAAGTATGCAACTAATAAGAGACTTATTTACCCATGAAATAATTTATTATCAGTCTTATATAATGTAAATTGACAGTATTTATTTTTATACAACATAAAAACTCCTCTCCAAACGTCTTCCTTTCACTAATTTATCGGACGATTTATTTATACAGAGATCATCTTTTTAAAAACATATTTTTATTCTTGCTCACTAACCTTTTTTTTTTCCTTTAAAAAATAAAGTTTAGAAGCTGATACAATGGGAACTTATGGTCATGTCTCTTCTGGGAGACATCAAAAGTTCCCCCATCATACAGTATCAGTGATGTAGCCAAATGAACTACATTCTAAGAAGTCTTTCAGTAATCGGGCTTCCTTGCCTTACAATGTATCTGTGGTACCATATACCCATTTATAATGGGAATCTGCTGTCTCTGAATTGTTGTAAACTCAAATAAGAATAAAATGTAAGAAATACAGCCTTGTTGTACTTCTTGATAAACTAGGAGGACATCAAGCCTGTGTGGAATTCACCTAGAAGAAACTGGAGTGATCTGTGGATATTTGTTGTAACAAGTATAATAAACCAGGCTCTGACCACCTCTCCACCTCCAAACCATTGCTTTACTACTTTTCCACGATTGAACACTCCTCTCATTTTCAGCTTCGATTCCTAGGTCCGCCAGTCCACGCATCCTCAGCTGCCTCCTTCAGACTCACCGGACAGCTCTGGTTAAACACAGCCCCTGCCTTGCCAGCACTCACGCAGCTGAATACGGCTCACAAAAGACACGGGACTGCTCAGACAGATCTTTGAATTTATAACCTCAGGCATCAGGTTAACCCGCACTGCCCAGCAGCCTGCGCTGTTTCTCCGAACACTTCATTCTCTGGAGCTCAGGCCTTTGTCTCCTATACTTTACTGAAAGTAGACCTGTCAGGGTCACCAAGAGTCCCCGGGTTGCCAAATCCAACAATCAGTTCTCAGAATTCTCACCTTATTTGGCCTCTGTAAGTCTTTGAAGGTCTCCTTTCTCCTTGAAATGCTTTCTTCATTTAGCTTCCCAAAAAAAACCCCCAAAAAACAAAAAACCTCTGCCTTCCGCTTTCTTTTCTACATCACTGAAAGCCCTGTGTCTGTCCTGCTGGTGGTTTCTCCTCAATCTCTACATTCTGGAACGGCCTACAGCTCAGTATTGATGACCTCTTCTGTATCTACTCTTTCTAGGTGACCACGCCCACCTCATTGTTTCAAATGCCATCTGTGGCCCTTAGCCCCAAGTGTATTCCTCCAGCCCAGGCCCCTCACCCGAGTTCCAGACCTGTATGTCCACATGTCTGCTGGACAACTCCACACGAACCACGATGAGGTATCTCAAACATTTGAACAACACTATCAGCCCACTTAACCTAACTGACACATATAGACTGCCATATCAAACGACGACAGAATACACATAAGGGGCTAATCCCCTTCATATATAAAGAGAGAAACCAGGAAGAGAGACCAACAATCCAATAGTAAAAAAGCTGAAGACATAATTCATTAAAAAAACCAAATAGATGCTCAATATCCAAACGAAAAGAAATGCTAATTAAAATCATACTGAGGGGTGCCTGGTTGGCTCAGTTGGTTGAGTGACCAATTCCATTTCTGCTCAGGTCATCTCAGGGTCCTGGGATGGAGCCCCGTGTCAGGCTCCACGCCCAAGAGGGAGTCTGCTTGAAGATTCTCTCCCTCTGCCCTGCCTCCTGCTCTCTTTCTCTCTCAAATAATGAATCTTTAAAAAAAAAAATCACAGTGAGATATCCTTTCTCACCTATCAAATTGACAAAAATTCAAAATCTAATAAAACATTCTCTTGGTCAGGCTGTAGGGAAACAGACAGTATTGCTGATAGTAAATGATAAATTTACCATAATAAACTGATAACAGCTCCGTAGAAGGGAATCTGGCCCATATCTACCAAAATTATAGACACATTTATTATTTGATCCTGTAGTCCCACTATCACCATCATTAGACCCAGGCAAGTAAAGCCCCTGCCCTGGGCCCTCTACCACATGAAGTGGTTGGGAAACCAGCCAGCAGGCCACATCCATGTCACTGCCTGTTTTATAAATAAAGTTTTATTAGAACACAGCCACGCCCATTTGTTTACATACTGTGTCTGGCTACTTTCCCTCTATGGCAGCAGAATAGGGGAGCTATGAAAGACATATAGCCTGCAAAGCGTGAAGTATTTACTCTCTAACCCTTTATACACAAAAAAAGTTGACCCACCCTGCTTTAGAGTCAGTTCCTCAAATTTTACTTTTGAGTCTCCCTCAGGTACCTGGGACTAGCCAGGATCAGCTGTGTCATCCAGGCAGGGCAGCCCAACCTGAAACTAGTCCTATATGGGCTCTAGTTGCCAGAAGCACCTCACAGATTTGTAAATCACTGCCCAATTCCTGGGACCATCCAGGGATGAACATGGGCCCCCGTTCCCATTTCTTCTCTTCAGGGTGAGCCCCTTGTATGGGGTCAACTAGATGCCCCAGCAAGTCAAGATAGTTTGCCTATGGGGTAGTCCTGAGGCTCTAGGGCTGGGCCCAGTTCCAAGAAGGCAGCAGGGTGGGCCGGTCACTCTCACTGGCTAGAATGACAGTGGGCTGCAGGAATGCTGCTGACATTGATTTGGAGCGACTGACACATCAGACAGAGGACAAGTTCAGAGCTCTGGGCCACTGAGGATCGGCTAACAGCTAACCCTTGGACTTGAGCCTCAGATCTCGTTTGTCAGCATTCTGACTATAGCATCACTCTGGCCTAGAGCATGGAAGGGTGGCAGGGTGGTGGCAGGTGTCCTTTACCCGGTGCGCCCTCACCGCTTGCACCCAGGAGAGTCTCCCTAACTTCTTGCAGCCTCTGTGCCACTTGTCATGCTGTCCTCTGGGGGTGGCTGCTCATTTCTCCGCTGATGGCTTTCAAGACCACTGCCCCACAACTGACCCTTCCAATTGATGTCCTGTCTTGCCTCCACTTGATGTGCTGATGCCATGCTTCCCCAGGTCAGTCTCAAATTGTACTGGACAAGGAACAGTCATTCATCATGTGGACGGTACCATTCTTCTCATCCTGCTTCTGGACCCTCCCCTAGCCTCCTCGCTGGTGATGGTGTGT